AGAAAATTTTTAAAAACCACTGAATGCTTACTAAAGCAGAGTTTTTTGAGAGAAGTTTTACAGTAGCAGTTATCCTTTTCCTGCCAAAATATTTCATGCCAAGAGAGGAAAAATCTGTACAGAGTGGTCAGATTTCAGGCCCTTGGATATTTTTTCAGAACTTTCTGGTGTATGGAAGTAATAAGTTGGTCTGCCAGTCTGGAATGTGTGGTTTTAAGTTTATTATGTTTATGAGTGGCTGTGCTTGGTTTATGCATTATGTGGATATCTTTGGGGTTTTTTGCCTCTCTGTATATGTATACACACACACATACGTTAGCGGAATGCACAGAAGTGTAACCTCTGTCCCACCTTTCCTTTTGATCGCATTATTTGCTTTACATGTCACTTCACAAAACTTATATTACCATTAAGTCTAATTTTATGCATTATCTTATTCCCCCCTGGATTACAGACTAGAACCTGAGATGGCAGTACAGTACGCAGAAATCAAATGAAGGTTACCAGTGGCTTGAAAGAAATTATCTCCCAAATTGGTTTGTACCTTTTGCACTAGAAGAGATTATTAAAAGCAATCTCCTTTTGTAGAGAATTCCTCCAGCACACATGGTTTTAATAAAATAGTATTTAATTTTTTTTAAAATGACATTGTGTTCACAAAGAACTCTTCTGTTAGCTCTGTGGTTTCACCTTAACATGGTAAAGGCACCTTGGGAAAGGAAAACAGTGAAGGTGATTCAGCAACTATTATGCATGCGATGCAGCCCTATTTAACATCAGTGGCCTGGAAAATATCTAAACTGTGACTAATCAGAAGTTAGATTAACAAACTGTGCTAGTTGTATGCATTCATGTGACAATGAAATAACTAGGCATTAAGGGGGATCACAGTTCATACAGTGACAATTGCTTCTGCTGTATTTTTGCAGAAAGTTTAGTTCATTTACTGAGTGGAAAGTTTGGTTCATTTCTTGTGGGTATCACTGAAGAAGATGCTTTCAGACCATTGCATCCTGCCAAGGAGACTTGATGGTCACACAAGGCAGAGCTTTAAGAATGAAGGCCAAAAGATTGGAAACATGTATGATGCTTTTATTTTTCTTTGGCAATTTTCATGGGAACAGAACCTCATTACTTTGTCTTTGTGGACATTTTTTTCAAGAGCAACTGCACTGTATTTTTTACATACAAGAGAATATTGCCACATCACATGAGGATATCACTGAAAATGCCACTGGTCTGTTTCCTAGAGAGGTAGTTGTCCATCTCTGTATAATGCATAAAGTCAGTCAGTCGATGTGAAAATTTCGTATTTTTATTGTAATAGTATTTTAACAGAGATATTAATGTGACATACACATCATGGACTGCAATCCAGTGACATCCTTAATATTTCCATAACAGAAGATATGTACAATGAGCTTTCTCTGCCCCTAAATAATACGGTGGCACACCATGAAAGTTTTGAAAATAACCTTTGATGTAACATCTTCTATGGAAAGGTGGGAACATAATCCCCACTGTGCAAGTAGATCTCTTGTATTCTTCTGAATGCTAAGAAAGTTTCATTGTCAAAACTTTATAGTCAGCAAATGAAAGCCAGTATTTGTGCATAATTATTTCTCCATTTCTAGCTGACAACATAGTTGGAAATGGATACATTTTGGATAGGTGAGACAAAGATATCGCTGTTAAGTGATTTGGTGAAACAGCAGGAGGTAATGGCTGCTAGAAGATGTAAGTGGTAAAGACAGGAAATGAACAAAGTACCTTGTGTGCAAAAAGAAACGTTTTTGTCTGAATGTATTGATTTTGAGGCTACAAAAGTAAAGACTGAGATTTTTAAAAAGGGACAAGAGATTACATCCTGCTCAAAATACACATTGAGAGCACTTGAGAGATACACAAAGGATTCTGTCAAGAGGAAATTGATTCAGCAGTAACACTGTAGCAGCTGAAGGGATGCTGCATGCCTTATACAGAGCCATCCCCCAAGAACAGTAGTTCTCGAGCTGTGGGCCAGGACCCACATGTGCATCGTGACTCTGTGGTAGGTAAGTTGTGAGGCCAGGAAAAGGGAGAGGAACAAGGAGAGTGTAGTAATTTTGGACTTGGTTCTGAGCAGGTGGGAACAGTAACCACAATGCTATTAAGTTCAGCATTCAGGTCAATGGAAAGTTACCCCTAAAGTCCAAAACTGTAACATTTGATTTCAAAAGACAGAACTTTACAAAAATGATGGGAATAGTAAAGAGGAAGCTGAAGGGGAAACACAAGAGGGTTAAATACCTTACAGGATGCTTGGAAGCTATTGAAGCCCAAACAGACTGCATTCCACAGGTGAGGAAAGGCACTGCCAAGTCTAAAAGAAGGCCTGAATGGTTAACAATACAAGTCAAGGAAGTTATAAAAAGAAAAGTGGAAGATCTGCCCCTATGAATTGAACAGGAAGGACCACTGGCTCCGGCAAAAGAAATGTAAGTCAATGCAAAAGAAATGTAAGGCATGCAAAAAGAGATTTTGAGGAGCGGGTTGCTAAAAGCATCAAGACAAACAATAAACATTTTTTTAAAATATATCTGGAGCAGGAAACCAGCCAGAGAAGCAGTGGGGCCTTTGGATGACAAAGGAAACACGGAATTCCTAAAGGAAGATGGGTAGATTGCAGAGAATCTCAGTGACTTTTTTGCTTCTATGTTCACTGTGGAAAGTATGGGGCATGAACCCATGCCACAGCCCCTACTTTCAGGAAGGGAGTCTGAGGAACAGCCAAATGGAGGTGACCATAGATTAAGATAAGAACATAAGGGAAGCCAGTGTTGGGTCAGGCCAATGGCCCATCCATCAGGAGGTCCATCAGTGGGGCCAGGACACTAGAAGCTCTCCCACAGTTGCCCCCCTCCCAGCACCAAGAATACAGAGCATCACTTGCCCCAGAGTTCCTATCTATACTTTGTGGCTAATAGTCACTGATGGATCTCTGCTCCATATGTTTATCTAATTCCTTCTTGAAGCTGTCCATGCTTATAGCCGCCACCCCCTCCTGTAGCAGTGAATTCCATGTGTCACTCTTTGGGTGAAGAAGTACTTCCTTTTATCTGTTCTAACCTGACTGCTCAGCAATTTAATGGAGTGCCCACGAGTTCTTGTATTGTGAGAAAGGGAGAAAAGTACTTCTTTCTTGACCTGCTCTATCCCATGCATGAGCGTATAAACCTCGATCATGTCTCCTCTCAGCCGTCGTTTCTCCAAGCTAAAGAGCTGCAGTTCTAGACCAGCTGGGGAAATTAAAAACTGATAAATCTCCAGATCCTGATGGCATACATCTGATAGTTCTTAAGGAACTCAGATGTGAAATAGCTGATCTACTAACCTGTATATGTAACCTATCACTAAATTCAGCCACTGTACCAGAAGACACGAGAGCAGCAAATTTGAAACCAAGCTTTAAAAAGGGATCCAGAGGGGAACCAGGAAATTCCAGGCCAGTCAGCCTAACCTGTCCCAGGCAAATTAGTAGAAACTGTCAAAGATAGTATTATTAGGCACATAGAGGGACAAAGCCTGCTGAGGGAAAATCAGCATGGCCTCTGCAAAGGGAAGTCCTGTCTCACCAACCTTTTGGAGTTCTTTGAGAACGTGAACAAGCACGGTGACCCAGTAGACATTATATACCTGGACTTACAAAAGGCTTTTTACCAAGGTACCTCACCAAAGATTTCTGAGTAACCTTAGCAGTCATAGGATAAGATATGATAAGATATGATAAGGGTTCTCTTATGGATTAAAAACTGGTTAAATGACAGGAAGCACAGAGTAGGAATTGATGAACAGTTCTCACAAAGATGGGTAGTAAGCAGTGGGGTGCCACAAGAATCAGTATTGGGGCTGATACTATTTAATTTATTCATAAATGAACTGGCCCAGTGTAGGCCAATCATCAGGAAGTTGAGGACCAACAGTGAGTGGGCAACAATGTGGCAAATGAAGTTCAATGTTGGTAAGTGTGCGAGGTGATGCACATTGGGACAAAAAAAACCCAACTTCAAGTGTAGGTTAATGGTGTCTGAACTTGCTGATACTGAGGGAAAAAGATCTTGGGGTCATAGTGGATATCTCAGTGAAAGTGTCAACCGAGTGTGCTGCAGCGGTGACAAAGGCAAACTCTGTGTTAGGGATTATTAGGAAGGAGACTGAGAATAAAATGGCCAGTATTGTAATGCCCCTGTATAGACCGATGAAGCGGCCTCATTTGGAATACTGTGCACAGTTCTGATCACCGTATCTCAAAAAGGACATTTTAGAGCTGGAAAAAGGACAGAGGAGGGCAACCAAGACGATTAGGGGGTTGGAGCACCTTCCCTATGAAGAAAGGCTGGAAGAGTCTGGGACTTTCCAGTTTAGAAAAGAGACAACTAAAGGGGGACATGATAGAGGTTTATAAAATTATGCATGGGATGGAGAGAGTGGACAAAGAGAACTTTTTCTCCCTCTCCCAAAATACTAGAACTCAGAGGCATCCAGTGAAGCTGATGGACAGTAGGTTAAGAATGGACAAAAGGAATGACTACTTTACACTGAGAATGACTAAAATGTGGGGATTCGCTGCCAGAGCATGTAGTGATGCCCACAGGCATAAACAGCTTTAAAAGGGGATTAGAAAGATTCATGGAGGATAAGTCTTATCAGTGCCTACTGGCCATGGTGACTGAGGGGAACCTCCACATTCAGGGGCACTAATCCTCTGAATCCCAGAGCCAGGAAACAACATCAGGGGAAGGCCTCAAGCTTTATGCCCTGTTGTTGGTCGTCCAGAGAAAATGGTTGGCCACTCTGTGAGACAGGATGCTGGACTAGATGGGCTATTGGTCTGATCCAGCAGGGCTCTTCTTATGTTAACAGTGTGGACTGGGATAAAAGTCTTTGGGTTTGTCTCTTCCCAGCGGTGAGGGAAAAAACAGGGAGGGACTGCTGTGTTCCTTTCTGTTTTTCATTTTTTTGGTTTTTTTAAAAAACCCTCTCTTACTTTGCCTTGTGGCCCTCCTCATTCCTTTGGATGAGAAAGAGCTTGCTAGCTGCTAAGTGCCAGGGGGGTGTATTCCATGTGCACATTCCCTAAGCTCTGAGGATTGGTAGCACAGGAGATGACAGGAGGATTAGCCTATGTCTCTGGGCTACTGATGGCCAGGACAGAGCCAAGCCCTGCCCTGTGATGCTAGGCTTGCACCTGGCCACTGACACTACACCTCTGCAATACTGAGAGGGGGCAGCTGCCAGATGTACTTTGTGGGGGAGCAGTGGGAAAGGGATTGCATGAGCTTGACAACGCACATACTTGAATGCGGTCTGTTCTGCTGAATTCAGTGACACTTATGAGTACATAGAATTGAGGGACAGGTACCTTCCCTAGCTTCTGACCTTATTTCATTTACTACATTTGGCAATCTTCCCCCCCCCACCAATTCCCATCAGCAAGCTACCTGTTTAACTTGTTTGCCAGAGTATCAAGACAATTACTTCTGTTGTTTGTATTTTCTATTTAATAACTCAAGAGTTATCACATGCCTTCCAGAAAACAACATTTATTTATAAAAAATACAACAGGATCAGTTTATGATGAGAAATGTGGCAATAAATACAATTCAAAGAAAAGGCAATTCTACATGGATACATTATGGCACAGAAATTTTTTTAAAAATTGCACCATCAAAAAATGGGGACTTCTGTGGGCTCAGAACTTTGTATGAACTCCCTTTTAAGAAAGTCAGCTCTTTCTATCAGTTTGGTCAATTTAGAAGTGGGAATGGAACACACACAATCACAAAAGCACATTTATTGCAAGCAAGCATGGAGGAAATTAAAAAAAACCCCTTTTCAGTAATAAGCCACAGCCACAGCTTTGGTGGCAAAGACCACAATCAGCATTATGCACAAAAGTCTTTTACAGTCTTCCATAAAGTAGAACTGTAAATAAAAAGTTTTTTAAAAAACATCAAGGCTTGATATGGTATGTAAAATGCCTATTTCAGAACAAGATTGTAAAAAAATGCATAGTTTTTTTTATTAAAAGACTTGGCTGTATAAGAGAACTCCCCTTCACAGTATTCCTTTTTACTTCATATGCAGTTATTGGTTATGCTGTAGACTGCAACTGTTACAGCACTAAAGGCAACTAGAGAAAGAAAGGGCAGAGAAAGGAAAAAGGAATGTTATGTAAGGCAATATTTACCTTAGGTACATGAGCATAATGTGTAAAGAAGATGGGTAACAATTCCACAAGGCTAGTTTCGTTTTTAATGAATAAAATAATAAACTAATACTGAACTTTTTCACTTGAGGCAACCCTAATAATCAATGCCCTGGTCACTGTACTGAACATGGTAATCTCTCTGATAGTCATCTTGGTACTCGCCGTGATATTCATCTGGATACTCAGCCTGATAATCGCTGTCGCTGATTTCAGACCCATTAGTTCCTGTTCCTTGGCTTCCATTATGAATAATGGGTTCTGTTGGTGCAGCACAATACTTAGGGTCATACACTTGTCGTCCGAGCCCATACACGCTCATCCCCTTCTGTGAAGCCACTTTGTTGGTGCCCATTTGTAGTGAAATGGTAGTGTTGTCCATGGGTTGTAATGTGAGCTTTTGGTCATAAATGTCTCGCCTGGTCCCTGGTGCAAGCATCCCTGCCTAAAAAGAAATGTTTATTTCAAAACAAACAATAGAGTACAGATTTTCAATAATAGTTGTGGCTAGTAATGAATGATTAAGGGGGCAACATGTATGAATTAAAATTTGCTGAACACTGACTAAGCTGCTCAGCTTGAAAAATAAAGTCTACCAAATGAGTCTCCAGGAAGGCTTTTGCAGAGATACTTTTTTTGCAGAAAACTGAATAGTAATTCCAACAAGAAGTTACCATGGGCACACGCTATGGATATCAATCTGTACTTTACAAAAATTAAAAAGTATCTTCATTTCCTTACCTAATTAACTAAGCAATGGAAGAAACTGGATAGGAACTCTGCTGTTTGTTCTCCTTCGTATTCTGAGTAAAAGGACCAGCTTTTAAAAACAAAGCTCTGTAGTGCTACTGGGGTGCTCCCTCTTAAGCTGTGGAGTCTTGTGAGCAAAAATTCTACTTTGTGAGCTACTGGCATTAAAGTTCTAAGCGAGCAATTTGGCTACTGCATACATTAGTTTGCTCTGGAGCCATCCTTCCTGAGCTAAGACAAAAATGTGTGAGATGGAGGCTAAAAAATTGTGAGCTAGCTCACCCTAACTCGGCTTAGAGGGAACACTGGTCCCCCCCCCCTTCCCTGAGATCGAACTGAAGAACTAAACATTGATTTGGACTTTGAAAATTTACTTTACTGCACTATGAGAGTCTCATCTGAACAACTGGATAGGTTGTAACCTAACAGCAAACCTTCACTTGCGGCAACAGGACTGAGCCTCAGGCTGGCATCCTTCCTCTGCCCTACCCCCAGCCACCTAATGAACGATTCCCCTTTTATGACGACACATTTTGGCGTTACACCTAAGCCGCTATTCCAAGACACAAAGATTGTTGTTTGCAGGGAAAGCACAAAACTACAGTTTGGTGATTTAGAGACTGTGATTTGCTATGTAAGTGGAAATAATTCATTATCTGGCCCAGCAGAGAAGAGGGGAGTGTACAATTCCAAAGATAAATGAGGTTCATTTGTGTAGTAGCAGACTGTAACAGAAGCCACACAAGTGAGATGGAAAACAGGCGGAGTTTCCGGGCGCGATCTCACCAGCACATCTGGGAAGCGTAGCACTCCCGTGGCACAACCGAGGCTTCCAGCCGAAACTGCGTGGCAAAAAACTAGTACCTTGGAGGTACTAGTTTCCGGAAACTGCGGGGCAAGGGCGGGCGTTTGATCGCGTTTCCGGTGGCATCCGGCGCCCGCCCATGTCCCCTTGCAAATAAGGTGGGGTTTTTTGGTCCACGTCTCTGTGGGTGCGCACACGCACCCAACGGAGCATGCGCATTCGTCGTGTACACACAAAAACAAAACTGTTTGCCGCGTCGCACGCTTCTTCGTTGCGTGCCGGCTTGTCCTGTGATCAGCACCTCTCCCTTGCCATGGAACCTCCACAGGACCTCCACGGGAGGTCTGATCGAGTAACTGCGCAGTAGTTTGCCCCAGGGCAAACAGCCACGCTTCTCCCCCGCAGTTTCCTGCCCGTGTGACCGGGGCCGAGGTTCATTTGTGTAGTAGCAAACTGCGTTTTTCTGAAACGACTGTGGTATACCTATGCCAATAATGAAGGTGTAAAATACAGTTTACAATATTAGAATACAGATTACAAAATAACTTTTGCTTACCTGACTGGCTCCTTTGTTAGTACCCATCTGCAAACTAATTGTTGTCTGGTCAAACGGTTTATCAGTTTGCATCTTTGGATCATAGAGATGTCTTCTAGTCCCATAGGCAGTCATACCTGCTTGACTGGCACATTTGTTGGTTCCCATCTGCAAAGACAGAGCATGCAGAACAGTTGACTCTAGAGAAAATTAGCCCCAGAGTGAACAGTTCTAAATAAAAAAGACTCACAATGAATAAACCAGGTGAAACCTGGTTTAGAAGTTACAATCACCACACGGTTGAAACGACCTCTGAGTGACGGCTGGCCCTACATAAGCAGGACAACTTCCCACAGACTGCTCCCACTGGTTTGGATCCAAGCAGTTGGCAGAGCCGAACTTTCCCGGCCTTCCAAAGCAGCCTAATGCTACGGGGGGGGGGGGGGCAGCAAAGGCAAATCAGGTAAATTGCTTCCTCCTTCCTCCACTGATGAAAGTTACTGGCTGCTTGGGAAAGAGGAAGGTGTGGAAAGATCCACTGCCAAATACTTCTGTGAACTCTTCTGCTGGATCCAACTCACAGGCTACAGGGAAGGGAGCGCTACAAAAAATGTCTGGCAAGTAGCTTGAAGCAAGCCAAGCAGAAGCTCCAGGTTCTGTGCGGTAACTATAATCCACTGAACTCTCATTGAAATAGATGGGAGTTCAGCTGTGTAACAGAGAAACTTCTTTTGGCTATACTGATATCCCAGATAAATTAAAATCTGACCCCAAAATGCCCGGACAGCATGCTTTATGTATTTAAAACATTTAAGAGCTGGTCTTTGTCCCTGATATAGGGAACCAAGGTGACCAGTATGGTAATCACTGGCATTCCAGAATACAGCATACAAGGATAGCCAATCTAGGAATGTGTCTCATACCTACCATCTCTTCAAACCCACCAAAAATGTCCTTCCGAGCTGATAAGGCAAATGGCTGATAAATGTGTAGCTAAACAGCAGTCTTTACTGGATATCAGTGTATTACAGTTACTACCTTTGCTGTCCTGTTTGCCTTAACCAATTCATACCCAATCTGAATGAATGATGCACAAAACCAAATGTATCCTGTGATTAATTTTTTTTTCACTCTTTGTATTCATTTTTGTCAGCAAATACATCATTTTTATAAGCTCGGTTTCTCTGGTGAAGGATATCTTTTCTGACAAATGAAACTGGGCCAGTGTGCAACTTCTTTAGACTTGGGAGTTTAATTTGTACCGCAAAATCCACATGTTGTATAATATTTACACTACTTATTCACACTATGAATTAGCTGCAACAAGTAGTGTAAATTTCTTCCCAAAAGAATTTATTACTAAAGTGAAGAGGACTGTCAAGTTTTCAAAAAACAAGGAATTTTGTGACTCCTTAAAGCTAATGCCCTTCTGGTGATAAGAGTGTACTTTTCAAGGCACAGATATAGGCGAGGCCATAGATTAGTGTAGAGCACATGTTTTGCAGGCTGTTGCTGGCATCTGGTAAAAGGATTCCTAGTTAGCAGGGCTGGGAATGAGATACAAGAACCTCAGGTCCACTGCCCTTCAAAGTAGACAATGTGAGTTAGCATAAGTTCCGTATTGTGCTTACCTGTAAGCCAATCACACTTTGCCCAGCCTTAAGTTTCCCTGCATCAAAACTCCTTGCTTGCTTTTCTGCATATTTTACTCCAATATCGATTGTAGTATGAAAACCTTTGGTTTTTGCCTAGAGAGATCATAATATAATGTAACAGTATTTGTAATATATATGCCACTGGAACATCTTCACATGAACGTACTTCATAACCTCTGCCTTTTGGCTGCTCTTCATTTAATAACTCTAAACCAAGGTTCTTTTATAAACGGGGGGAGGGGGCGGGATCCTTAATTGTGTATAGTTTGGGCAGCTAGTTATTTGGTGACAGCTGATCTCTGAGTATGAGCTAAGCTTGGTCTTTCATGTAACTCATGTCTGATTTAAGACAATTGTTACTTGGGTATAGATTCCCTTCATGAGATTTGATACCATGGAAGGGACGGACCATTTTGTACAATAAACGAGGTAACTGTAAAGCATTTTCCATTCTTTATTACGATGTGCTATAACATTATTAATAATACTTACCAGGCATGCACTCCTGAGTAGCTCAGTTATGCACACTGGTCTCCATATGTCAACAAGTACTTACCAGACCTGCTAGTGCCACTAGTGATGTTTGAACCTGGGTCATATTTCCATTCTCAAAGAGATCATTTGCTTCAAAAATATCATGTGGTTTCATGCCATATTGCTGTATGGCCTTGATAAAATTTCCAATGTTCTCCAGCTAAAATGAAACAAACACAGGAAGCAGTGTTCTCAGGAATTGTTAGTATTTCAGCTTGGATGTGCTTAACTTAGACATTTACCAGGCTTCTATTACATATGGCTGTGTCTAATGCACAGTTAAAGTCCTTAGGTTCAAGCTCTTTGTTTTTACCATGAGAGGATACAATCCCCTCCTTTCAAACTTTATACTAAGTCTTCACATAGGGCATGACCGAATCCAAGGTTCTGATGGTCTTAACACTCTAGTTTTGTTTTACCTATTTAAAATATTTATATCTCCCCTCACAACAAAAACATTCTTGAGGAGGCTTAAAAGTTCATGAGGTTCATTGGTCAGATCCACCGAACCTGATGGACAATACAACAATCACTCTATTCTCTAAAATTGTTTAAATCCACATTTTTCCCCCAAAGCGTAAGGCAAACTTTCCTCATGATTATTTCCATGACCCTTCCTGCTGCAGTATCTCTTTAGAGTTTCATTGCATTGGCCAGACACTGCATATCCATCTACGCTCTCTTAATTACGTCATAGTTACTAATTTGTGTGAGCATACCGCCCTAAGCAGAATAATACCCCTTCTAAATCCTTTTAAGTTGATGGGCTTAGAAGGGCTCTGCTTAGGATTGCACTGTGAGAGTGCTGGAAGCCAGTGGGGTCAAACATTTAAGGGAGAGAGCGAGCAGTTTGTTTTTGTACTTCAGTACAAAGTGTCAGATTCCCTGGGCTATGAACAATTTAATGTGTGCATAGCTCTAACGAGGGAAAGAAAAAGAAAGGGACATGTGCCAAGAGGTAGCGATTTCTCTAAGCCTGAAAAAAGCTGCCAGTTCTCTTAATTCCTACAGGCAGTGCTTACCTCCTTGATATCCTACTCCCATACACAAACCCCCAGGTGCAGCACCTTCAATGGTATTCTATCAAAAAAGAAAAAATTTCCCACTATTTGACCATTAAATGCTACTTCACCTTAACTGATGAACAGTTTCTATCTGCTTGACAATATACAATCGCTAAATGCCTTCACTGTACATTTTCATTTATACATTTTGTCTTTCCTTCAAAGTAAATTCTTCACAACAACAATGCAGCATATTATTTAAATGGCTGTTTTGCTATTTACCTGATGCCAGTTTAGTTTGGACTGATTAATTTTCTTTATAGATCCTGGCTGCAATTTGTTGATGAGCCTGCAAAAACAATAAAATAAAGTTTTTAAATGCAGTTATTTTAATCATTTTGTAGCACTTCTTGGACCCCAATTAATTTATTTGCTTGTTTATTTATTTCTATCCTGCTTTTTTGTGCAAAAGAACACCCTAGCTCGCCAAACATCCTACTATAATACAAACATCAAATAATTAAACATTAATTAACAAAACAGTAGTAATTTTCAAGTTCTTTCACAGGCAGGCAGCTAACTAGATCAAAACAGCTCATTTGTTTACACTAGCAGTTTATATTAGTTTAAATACTAAGGAGAATAGCAGCACTTTCCCTCAGCTGTACCACTTCAGGGTGCATCTGAATGATTGTCTATGTGAAAGCTCACTCATTTGGGGGGGGGACCTCTTTCCATGTGGAAAATATTAGGGAAATGGTTTCAATTTTGCCTTTTTCTTGACATTCAGGGTTGCCAGGTCTGAATGACAAGCTGGGAGGGGAATTACTGGGTCGCTGTGGGAGGGGAGGAAAGAAGGTGACGTAGGCATGTTGGGGGTGACGTGCCACAAGCTGGGAGGGGAATTACTGGGTCGCTCTGGGAGGGGAGGAAAGAAGCACATCTTTGCCTACATTACCTCCAGGTGATATAGGCATGTTGGGGGGTGACATGCATACATCACATGGAAGTGATGTAGGCATGTCAGTGACATAGGGAGCAATGCTCTGGTTTGTGGGGAAAACTCTATGATTTGAAGCTAATTCTACCATAGAGTTTTGCCCAAAAGCTAGAGCGTCCCCTCCAAGGTCACTGACATGCTTATATCATTTCTGGGTGATGCAGGAACATTGCATTTGGAAAGGTAACTTTTCCCCTGCTAGCCAGCAGGGGGGGGGGGATTCCCCACACGCCAGGGGGACCTGGCAACCCTATTGACATACTGTTTTTCTATGTGCATTTCATGGAGGAGAATGAAAACATACAACCACATGCAGCGAAGTGGGATTAAAAAGTCCTGTCACTTCATTGTATTGACTGTAGGAATCAGCCTCTAAGTGCTAGAGAATTTTACAGGTGGCCACCATACAAACTGCAAAAATCTTCAGAAATGCCTCCAGTTACAAAGCTACATTGAAACCTCCTCTGTTATTAATGGGGGGGGGGGCTGGTTTGCATCCAAAGCTATATTCGTTCCAACTGGGCTCTGTAAGAAATTCCTGATGGACTATCCCTTTGTTGCTGTCTAGCCTATTAGTCTGTAACTGGTAAGCTGAGACCCATAACTGGGTTGCACCAGTAGTATCACTACAGTATTTGAGTTCCTTTTTAGAAGAAGAAGAAGAAGAGATTGGATTTATACCCCGCCCTTCACTTGGAGTCTCAGAGCGGTTTACAAACTCCTTTCCCTTCCCCTCCCCACAACAGACACCCTGTGAGGTGGGTGGGGCTGAGAGAACTCTGACACAAACTGCTCTTTTTCAAGGACAGCTGTGCCAGAGCTTGTGACTGACCCAAGGTCACATCAGCAGGTGCAAGTGGAGGAGTGGGGAATCAAACCCGGTTCTCCCAGATTAGAGTCCGCGCACTTAACCACTGCACCAAACTGGCAGTAAGAGTAACATCAGATAAAGGCCATCTAGAAGACATATTGGTGGGCGATGCCCTGCACAACAAAGCCACACGTGTCATCATTCCGTCTTCCCATGCTGAAAACTGATTACATATGGACGATGAGTAAAAAAAAATGGTCTAGAAAGATTATGGTCTAGAAATGGAGGAAAACAACCCACAATGGAATGAAAGGAAATTATGCTGCTTACTCGCACAGAATAATACCATCCTTTAAGCCCAGCTGGAAGTTTGCCCCAATGCTCATTCCAGTAACTTCCTCAATCCAGTTGCGAAGATCTTCTTCTATCTGTGGATCATATTTTAAAGCAATCTACAATGCAAAATAAAATGAATTCAACATCTTTGTTTTCCAGTTTTAATAAAAATAATTTTACATTTGATTGGGAAAGGATAGTTTATGAAAGCATCTGCTCCACTGCTATCTCAGGCATCAGTTTCGCTGACTTGCAAATATTAAATCGCTGAAGCCTCAGTTTTATCTGACCACATATGGTAATTTCTTAGCTGTTTAAATAAACCAAAGAGTTTATTTAAAATATTCAGGGCCATGACACGATGTGTGCTTGATGGTACACAAGAGTTCTACCCACAGGACAGTAAGGTGTATCTTGTCCTTATGAAAGACCCTCAAACAAAAGATGGAAAGGGGGACCAAGGGCACAATAAATATTTATTTTATAAATTATAGTAAATTCAATACATTTCAAATCACAGTGTAACCCTATGCACTCAAAAGTCAGGTCCCATTTTATTCAGTTTATTTACTCACAGGCAACATTGGACTGATCCATAACATACCAATCAACCTTTAGACTGCACAGTCACAGCACTATAGTAATTGTAAGCAATAAGGTATGAAAATATAATTCTTTGAAACACTGTAACCATTTCATCATTATATTGTGCAGTTTTTGCCAGACATTGCCAAAGTAACACTTGAGAACAAAGAGGAATAAAAGGGGGATTACCTGAAGCAAGATACAGTGAACAAAGCAAGTACAAGATACCGAGGACTGTGTTTTCAATTTTATAAGAAAGTGCACCCCAATTTTAAGGGGCGTGAAAGCAAGGCAAGAATAAGCCTAAAAATTCAGAAGATAAAGCTAAAACCTGAGATGTTTGTGCTCGGCATGGTAGGTAGTAATGTCCACTGTAATTACAGATTGAGATCTAGCATAATGTAGCGACTAAGAGATTGAGATATGAATCAGGCACCCCCAATTTGAATATGATCATTGCTATGAAGTCATTAGGAGGCTTTAGGAAAGCCAGTCTCTATCCATCCCTCTGTAATACAAGGATAATAACACTCAAAACTTTTGTAAGGAACATGGAAAAAATTATACTTTTTTAGAAAATCAAAGACCATCTTCCCCAGATTTGTATCTCCTACAGATGACACATATATGAAAGCTGATGAAAATGCACTAAAAAACAATATTCTGAAAAAGCATAGGATTTGCCTGTCGCTCAGAAAATTACAAATTCTGTACTTCTAAACTTTTTTCCATTAATATTTGTAGATGAATTACTATAATGCCAAGTAAAAATGTAGATGTACTGGGGTAGATCTTATCTAGTGTGAGCAGAGCTGTGCTACATGTGAAGAACTCTCCTGCCTCCAACTGCTGCTGTAGCCTCCTGTGCCCCCCCTCCCAATTGTGCTGGTGTATCCATGGGAGGGGGGGTCAGGGAACCCCTGGAAACAGCGTGTAGGAAAAGCAAGGTGTGTGCCTGCTGTGGGAGTGCCAAAATCACTCCCTTTCATAACTTAGTTACCCTTCACAAATACAAAAGGAGGTTAGGATTTAAGCCAGTATCATCCTCCACTTCACCCTAAAGCAGTAGCCTTTTAGGGTTAATTCACACTTTTTAATGTTACTGCTCTTGTCATGTAAAAAAATGTACAACATAATCTTTTAGTACAAGGATGATCATTTAATACAAGGACCAAGGAGCCAATCTACACGATTCTCAGCGGAAAATATGCTAGTAAGTGCCTGTTTCTTCCTTAACAAAGACTCTTATTTGTGTAGGAAAATGTCACATATATAGCAGAAGAGCTACAGAAGATGTTATTTTAGACTAGAGATGGACCAGATTTTTCAGATCTACCACTGTCCATGGAGATCACTCTCAGTTCTTTCTATCTCACTAACATCTCCAGGCATATGGGTTTCACAGGTTTCTTCAGCACTTCAAAAATATGCAAAAACTGCTTGACCAGAGAGAACAGTTACAGAGAGAAGAGAGTTTATGATGGGCAACATGAATGTCTTCACAAAGGGCAGTGAACCCTCTATCACATCACCCTCAATTCTGAAAAGTTTCCCTCCAGGCTAATGTCGCACAGCACTGACCAAAAATCAAAATTAATTACGCTGATTTAGAGATGTGTGCAATAACAGACTATGGCTGTGATCACACGGAACATTAGCCACGCTAGAGAGACGGAAGATAGGCGGATTTTCCGGGTGCGATGTCACCGCCACATTTGGGAAGCGTAGAGCTCCCGTGGCCCACCCGAGGCTTCCCGCCGAAGATGCGGGGTAAAAAACTAGAACCTCCGAGGTACTAGTTTCCCCACTGTCCATGGAGATCACTCTCAGTTCTCACCCGAGGCTTAAAATGCGGGGTAAAAAACTAGAACCTCCGAGGTACTAGTTTCCGGTAACCGCGGGGTAAGGGTGGGAGTCTGATTGCGTTTCCGGTGGCATCTGGCGCCCGCCCATGTCCTCTTGCAAAAAGGTTCCCCCCACCCAAGTCTCCATGGATGCGCACAAGCACCCAACGGAGCATGCACATACTTTGGTGTACAGAAAAAAAAACAAACCCGTTTGCCGCACCGCGCCGCTTCTTTGCCGCGCCGCAGGATTGTCCTGTGATCGGCAGCTCCCCCCTACCCACGGGACCTCTGATCGCACAACCGTGCGTTATTTTGCCCCGGGGCACGCCTCCCCCCCGCGATATCCGGCCCGTGTGACCGGGGCCTATAAAAGGTATTCTGCTTTACTTATACATACAAATTCTCACCTTCAGCAATTATTGCAATGATTTACAAAACCCAATCCTAGCACACAAGACACACAATACCAAGTCACATTTCTTTCTGGCTTATTATATTCATCACCAAACAAGCTTCAAACACAAAGTGAGTTTCTGCTCATTCATCTGTATCATTTCACATACTTAAGGACAAGAGGTAATTTTAAATAATACTTAATCTCCGGAGGACTGTCCTGTTATCAAAGGCATATTCTTAAAACATCTTCAGATGTTTGTAACTCCTTAACATCCCTTATAGCCAGAGAGCAGAACTCTCTTCTCCCCCCCTTTCCTTTGAATTTAATGATTCTGATCTGCATTAGTAACGGTAACTAAGAGAAATGGGGAAGATAGCTGTTCATAGTTAAGTAACAGGAACAATGCAATAGAATAAGATATTATATTTGCCAAAAGTTTCCTAGGCTCAGGAACTCTGTATGTTATAGACTGAGCCAATATTTTAAAGTAATTTACAATACACTCTTTGGTTGTACAGCGTTGCTATGAAACTTGGCAAACTATTTTCTCAGATACAGCATCTAACAAAAATGCTTTATTTTTAGCGCTCAATAGTGAGTCAACGTGGTTGAAAACAAATCTGGATCTGTTTCAATACCATCTTAAAATGATGAAGATTAATTGTGGCCCCAGTCACATGGGCCGGATATCGTGGGGGGAGGCATGGCTAATTGCCCCGGTGCAGTTTGATCCGCGATTATGCGATCAGACGCGCCGGCAGCACACCACGGGTCCTTCCCTCAGCGCTGGCGGGTAAACGAGGGACCGGAGGGGAATGCTGCACGCCGGCGTGATCACACCACGGGCGTCTGGAGGCGGCCCGTGGCAAATGTTTACTAGTACCTTGGAGGTACTAGTTTTTTAACGCGCATTATCGGTGGTAAGCCACAGGTGCGCTCCACTTCCCAGATGTTGGGGTGTGATCGTGCCCGGATAATCCGCCCACCATCCGTGCCTCTCCCATGGCAACTTTGTTGTGTGACCGGGGCCTATGCAAGTCAGATGGTCATCCTATGTTTGATAGTAAATCCCACTGGTCTCAGTAAAGTGCGATTTGAAAGCGGAGGACTGGGCTGTCCACGTGGTTTTTACAATATGGCATTCTACTACTCTGCAACAGAAGCTGCTGGGACAATAGATCACATTCCTGTCTTTTCTAGGAAATGTTCATGTATAGAGAGTACTGTGGCTCTTCATAGGATCACAGCAAAATCACACACACACACCGATATTGCTGTGCTGGTATGACATAGTTCTGCCTGCGCATACCACAGCAGCCAGGCACTGTACCACAGCAGGAGCTGTCTCCATTCATGTGTTCTTGTTCAGTGGAGAGCAGCCTGTGCATGCTGGGCCCAAGTAATGCTCAGCTCCTATCAAAAGCTGCTCTATAATTAGCTCTCCATGTGGGTACCCAGGGGTAATTTCATAAAAAAAAGAGGTGCAGGAGCTTATTAGCATAACTCATTAGCATAACTCATTTGCATATGCCACACAGCGTGTCAGAAGGCGACACCCACCGCTCAGGCTCCACTGGAGTGCTTTGGATTGCTAGCTACTGGGGGGGGGCGTGCAGATCTGTCCTCGCAGAGGAGGGAGAGCTTGTACCTGAATAAAACCTGGTCTTAAAGGTGCCATTGGACTGTTTTGGACCGGGGGACCGGGGGGAGCTCTGCAACTGACCTGGCTGCTTCTTGCTCTGACTGAGGGCTGCTGGGAGCAGGGGGTAGGGCTTGTTGCATGTGCCCGCCCCCTGGGCTCTTTACTGCCGGAGCTCCGCTCCTGTGCGCTCCTGCAGGAAATGACCCCTGTGGGTACCCATGTCTGGAGATCAGGAATGCACCCATAGCCACTGCATGCCAATCCTGTCCATGACCCGCCATACATCAGACTCAAGATTAGTTTCCCATCTGTAAAAGTGCATGATATTATATGTCCCTATAAGGATTTGAGCCCCCCCCTTTTCCAGCTGGGGCCTTTTTTAATAATACAGAGATATAATTAATAGATCATGTCATCGCAAGAGGCGTTTCAGACAGAGGGAGAGAAAGAATGTTGGCTGTTGAACTGGAGTGCAGAAAAGGGTGACGCATGTTTGTCTTCGGAGCATTGTGGCCAAAGGAATGTCACATCAGTTCTGTCATTTCTGCAAAGTCAACTCCCCTCCCCTCCATTTCGCAACCTTCATGCACATCTGATCTTTTCATAGTGGAGAACTGACTACTCAAGGCCTTGAAATGCTTCTAT